AGCTGCCGCTGCTTCGGACACTACTCCGCCCCCCCACCCCTACCCGACTAGGCACCAGGCCCGTGTTCGCCGTGCCCGTGACGAGCAGCTGGCGTTGGAGAGAGAGGAGAGGGAGTTACAGCGGCTGGAGGAGCAGCAGCAGCAGCTGGAGCCGCAGGAGCAGCAGTCCCAGCAGCACCCGCATCCGCAGCAGCAGCAGCCGCAGCAGCAGCAGCAGCAGCAGCCACTTCCTCCTCCTGTCTCGGGTCTTCGGACCCTTGGCCTCCCCTCCCCTTCTCCTCCCTCCTCCACCTCTCCTCCTGTCTACGGTCCCACGTTTCCTCCTCCTGACTCCTCCCCCGCTGTTTTCCCCAGTTCTCCGCCTTTGTCCTCTCCTCCTCCGTCTCGTTCTTGGGCTACTCGTCGCTCCCCTCGTGCTCGTCCCTCGTCTCCTGTTCCCTTCACTGACCTTCGTACTGCCTTACTTTGTTCTAGTCCACCTCGTCCGTCTCAGTCTGTGCTTCCGTCTCCTCCTGAGTCGGCCCTCACTGTGTCGCTCCCTACTCCTGTCACTGACTACTACCGCACGTACCGTCCTGTTCTCTCTCGTGTTCTCGCCTCTCTTGTTACTCACCCTCGTGCCTCTGTGTCCTCTGTGTCCGCTCTTACTGCCGCAGTTACTGACTTTGCCTCTACTCGCCGCCTTGACTACGCCACCACGCTTGTGGCTGCTCCTCCTACCTGTCCTCTGGCCGTCGGGGGTGTGTCTGCCCTTGGCTGTGACGCCCTAGAGGACAGACAGTTTGAGCTAGAGTTCTTGGCGGCCGCTTCCCCTCATCTCTGTGCCATGCTCCTCGCCCCTGAGGGTGACCCCGACGCCCTTGACATTCCGACTCCTCGCACTTACGCTGAGGCAGTGTCAGGGCCTTGGGCCTCTCAGTGGAGAGCTGCCATGGACGCAGAGATGGCCTCCTACAGATCCACAGGCACCTACGTCGATGAGGTTCCCCCCCCTGGGGCGAACGTAGTCGACGGCATGTGGATCTACAGGGTGAAGCGGCCACCGGGATCTCCCCCGGTCTTCAAGGCGCGCTACGTGGCTAGAGGTTTTAGTCAGCGCGAGGGAGTTGACTTCTTTCAGACCTTCGCACCTACCCCGAAGATGACCACTCTTCGGGTGTTACTACACGTAGCAGCACAGAGAGACTACGAGTTACACTCTCTCGACTTCTCCACTGCTTTCCTTCAGGGCAGCCTACACGAGGAGGTCTGGTTGCGTCGTCCCTCGGCCTTCACTGGCACTTTCCCTCCTGGGACCCAGTGGAGGCTGAGGCGACCTGTTTACGGTCTTCGCCAGGCCCCTCGTGAGTGGCACGACACTCTGCGTTCTACCCTCTCTGACCTTGGGTTCCAGCCGTCTTCTGCCGACCCGTCGCTGTTCGTTCGTCGTGGCTCCACACCGTTCTTTGTTCTGGTCTACGTCGACGACCTCCTTTTCGCCACTCCGGACAGGGTTGCTTTGGCAGACGTGAAGTCCGAACTGCAGAAGAGACACACGTGCACTGATCTTGGTGAGCTGCGCCACTACCTTGGTCTGCAGATCACCAGGGACAGAGCCGCTCGCACCATTACTCTCTCACAGTCACACATGGTGCAGCAGGTCCTTCAGCGGTTCGGGCTTCAGCACTCCACCGTACAGCGCACACCTCTCGCTGTTGACCACAGACTCACTGGTCCCTTTCCTGACGAGCCGTTTGAGCCTAGTGGTCCCTACGCAGAGCTTGTGGGTTGCCTCATGTACCTGATGACTTGTACTCGCCCGGACCTCGCCTTCCCTCTCAGCATCCTTGCGCGCTTTGTTGCGCCAGGGAGACACCGTCGTGTTCACTGGACGGCAGCTGTGAGGGTGGCGAAGTACCTAGCGACTACATCAGGCGTGGGGCTAGTTCTTGGAGGGCAGCAGTCTGTCGTACTCACTGGTCACTGTGACTCCTCTTACGCTGACGACGCTGAGACTCACAGGTCTACTCAGGGGTACTGTTTCAGTCTGGGTTCTGGAGCTGTTTCCTGGCGTTCCACGCGCTCCTCTTCTGTCTCGACCTCTACAGCTGAGGCTGAGATTTACGCTGGTGCCATGGCGGCACAGGAGTTGCGTTGGTTGACCTTCTTGCTCGCCGACCTTGGTGAGCGGCCGAGCTCTGCACCGACCTTGTTCACTGACAACAAGGCGTCGATCCTCCTCTGTCGTGAGCCGCGACTGGAGAGCAGAGTGAAGCACATTCACGTCAGGTACTTTCTTCTGCGAGAGTTGCAGAGATGTGGACAGGCTCGCTTTGAGTTTGTGGAGTCCGAGGCCAACACTGCAGACATCTTCACCAAGGCGCTTCCACCTCGTGACCACCAGAGGTGTTGTGTGCAGTTAGGCCTTGTTGACACAGGTTCTAGTCATGTGTATGCTTGAGTTTATTGCCTGCTTCGTCTGTACTCTTGCTATATATACTTGTGATCTCTTGGACTGGCCTTGTGGCCACTGTTGCTTGTGCTCAGAGAGTGTGGTGACGTTGTGATCCACCCTGAGCTTTGTTTTCTTTTGGACTGGTCTTGTGACCGTACTCTTTTTGATTTTGCTAGACACCCCTCACTTAGGCTATGGGGGTGTGTCAAATGTTGTAGCCTGTAGTGAGGTTTGTCTTAGGGGGTACAGAAGTTAGGGTTTGTTATATGTACCCCAACCAACATCAATGGAACATTCATTCCTCATTCTGACAAACACTACCTCACTGCGTGCGAACCTACCAGAGTAGATCCTGACGATCAATTTCTGATCGCAGCAAATTCCTACACTAATAAATCAGTTAACCATGAAATTTTACCATGACAAAATCAGCATAAACTTCACCCCCAACGCTGATTTGGTCACTACTTTGGGCAGGGCACGCTGATCCATCAGCATGCCCTGAAACCAATCTGAGGGCCTGGAACACACTCTCATATACTGGCGTTTGGAGTGGCAAACTTTGGTTTTTGTACCATATTAGCATCTGGACATTCTCAAGAACTATGCTATTATTACCCACATGCTAGCCCATGGTAAGGACAATCTCCCTGCAGTATGAAACCCTAGATAATCGGTGGCCACCACCTGAGCCCTGACCTGACAGTGGAATATACTGTTTTCATCTGTACCATAAAATTTCTGAATATACATAATGTTTGTTCTCTCAGGACTTTTGAAGTGTATGTGCCAGGGCCTCAGATATCAGGAAAAAAACCCTGAAATTCCTGATTTTGGCAGTCGTTTTTTTGCCTACACTGAAAAATCAGTGTTGGGATTTTTGTGGGACTGATCTTTTAGCCTTTTTTGTTAGGCCACACTGAAATTTCAGACTTTTTTTCCCAAGTACACTGATTCCACAACGTTGTAATGAAACTACCACTGAATGCAATTCTGACTTGTTCCGTGTGAATTTGCCCGCAATTACCGGGAATCTCAGATTCCTGCGGTGCCAGCACTCCATTGGGCAGTTTCGCTGCAGCATAAGCGTTGGCTAATCAGAATGTGGCAACCATGTGGTGCTGGAGGGCTGCGAGGGTTCCTGCACCGTTGACTGTGCTGGCGAGCTCTGATGGTCCCGTTCCCTCCAATCTAATCTCTCTTGTTTCTTTTCCTCCTGTTTCTCTCTCCCTCCCTCTCAGCCAGATTCCTCTCGTGCTTTCTCGTCTGCACTATTACATGGCGCCACCAGCACCAGAAACGGCGGGCTGTCTGGAATCGAACCCATCGCGAGCGCCGCCGAACCTCCTCTAGTCTCGCCGAACACATCGCTCCCGTTCGACGCGATCCGCAGCGCATGCGTCGTCGAATCGTAGCGGGCTTGCGAGATGCCGACGACGCGTGGTTTTTCGTGCTAATGGCGACGACCGAAGGCTGCCTCGTCGCCAGCACGAACCGCGGTTGAAAGACCATCTGCGTCGCGGGCGGCGCGCATAGCGTCGTGCTGCGCGACGGCATGACCCGCGCATGACCCGCGCGCCCACCGTCCATTCCCCCGCTCCCTTTACCCCGCACTCCGTCCACTCCCTGTCTCCCCCGGTCGTTCCCCCCCCAACCATGCCAGTCTTCCCTCCTCTCTCCCTCCTGTTCTCTCTTTCCCTGCCTCACCCTGCCTGTCAATCAGGTTCCTCCCCCAAACCCTGCCCCTGCAGCTTCAACGTGTATGTGTCGCAAGCAGAAGTGAAGACGGGGTGTGTGCTGCAGCAGAGCACTGTCACGTACTGGTGTCCCAAGCTGAGGATGAGAGAGAAAAACCAAAGGCTAAGGGCAGTGATGATAGCACGGCTGGTGATGATTCATGAGGCATGTTAGCTTAGCAATGTTTCGGAAGGCCGCTACTGACCTATTAATTAAAATAGAGATTTCTAGTAATAACAGCCTTTTATATTATTGAACACTGATGCATCAGCCTTTTTTCTAAGGCAACACTGATATTTCATGCTTTTTTTTTTAGGAACACTGTCAATCAGGGTTTCTACATAGGGGTACCCTGATGGGTCGACGACCCTAAAAGTGAATCTGAGGCCCTGGTATGTGCATGATCATGTACGACAGTTACCGTAAACAGCAAAAAGGTGGCCACATGCGTCAAGACCACAGCCCAGCCCTGCGCTAATCTTCACCCTCGTCCATTGGCCTATCGCCCCGACGAGGACCGCCGGCAACCTTGGCCATGATAATCTGCAACACATGACATAAAGACAGCAAACGGATAAGGCAGGTAAATGAGTGACAGTATGTACTGGGAAGTATATAAGATGGAGGCAGGGTGGTGATGTGGAGGGGGAAGAGCCTAGAAATACAATTAAGCTAAAAAATATGGAGCAGGGCAACGACAGATAACAAGAAATTTCACTTGAGTATTCTGGGACAAGCAACCCATGCAGGCCGTGTGTTGCATCAGGTGAAAGTGTACGTATGAAGCATTCAAGTGCCACTGCAACGCAGAGAGCAGGTTTGCACACACCTGGTCCACTCGAAGAACCGTAGTCACTGCGTCTGCAGCAAATCGGATGGCCCAATACCTGGGGGGAAAGAAAGTGCATAGCAGGGAAAGCAACCCGAATCTTTGTGTGATGATGACCAGATAACCAGAGCGTGTCACACACAACAGCAGCATGACAAGAGGACCCAAGGAACAAAGGGAGCTGCTAGTCCAACAGAGAGCAACAGACCGTGAGAGGAAGCAGCACAGACAGTGCGTACCAGAGTGACGGGGGAAACCGGGAAAATGGGGAAGGGAAAAGTTGGGCATAAGAGGCCTACTTTGTAGCATAAAAAACCTCACTTGACACTGTCAGTGGTGGGATGCGTGTCACACTCACTTCGTGGCAAAGAGATCCCAAATGTTGTCAGTTGTGAGGTCCCTCACACCCGCACCAGTGACATCCACTCCCACACGGAAATTGCCGCCCGTGCCATCCGGCCCACCGGAGTGGGCGGCGTAAAGCGCGGAGAGAATCTCAGTGACGTCCATGCCTGCATTCTCAGCCAGCGTGCGCGGAATGACTTCTAGAGCCTCGCTGTACTTGTCAATTGCATATTGGTCCAGACTGGAAGTGAGGGGGGAGCGGGCGAGGGGGGGAGGGAGGGAGACAGGGAGAGAATCTCAGTGACGTCCATGCCGACATTCTCAGCTAGCATGTGCGGAATTGACCTCTAAAGCTTCGCTGTACTTGTCAAGTCAATCGCGTACTGGTCCAGATTGATGGGGGTGGAGAAGAGGAGGAACGTGGAAGGGGGAGGGGGAAGGGAAAGGGGGAAGGGGAGGGGAAGAGAGGGAGGAAGGGGATGGAAGGGGAGAGGAGGCGGAGGGGGAGTGGGAGGGGGAAGGGGGACGGGGGGGGGAGGGGGGAATTGAAAGAGGAAGAATTACGCTGAGTGCTTCGTCATACTTGTCAGACAGTGTACCGTTTAAGAAAAGAAGGTGGGGAGGGAATGGAGCTGTAGTGAGGGGTGAGGACAGGGCAGACAGCATTCAAGTGATGCCCAGCCTCTCACATTGCAATCCCAGACTCCATACCAGCAGGTTCAGATCCAGGAGGGTGTGAAACACAACTTCGATATGTACATGCCCATGCCCTTCTATCACTCACTGTATTCCCAAGAGCACGCACACCATGTACCCTCATCCTTCCCGCCCCCAACCCCCCGCCAGCTCCCCCACTCTCGTCCATTCACTCCACTACACACTCCCTCACTCTCTCACCCCCTCACTTCACCCCCCAAACTCACCCCACTTGTGTCCGTGCAAACTGCTTAAGGCGTCTGGCCAACTCAATCTCAGTCGCCCCTCCCCCAGGCAGCACCCGGCTGTCACGGCACAGTGCCTGGTGGACGGGACAAAAGGGAACAAAAGATGCTGCGCGGTGAGGTCCAATAGAGTGCAGTGCTCCACATCATCCAGATTTTTGTCCGTCCCCTTCCATTGCCATGGCCCATGCCATGCCATGCCCCATACCACACCTCAAATACCAGATCCCTATGCGTCTCACCTTGTACGTGTTAATGCCGTCATCCACGGCCTTCTCCACATCGTCCAGAATGCTGTCCGTGCTGCCCCATCCATGCCCCACGGTCTGCCCCATACCATGCCCCATGCCACACCTTCCCATGTCGTGCTGTCCCCCACATCGCACCTTGTACGTGTTGATGCCATCATCCACTGCCCGCTCCACATCGTCCAGAATGCTGTCCGTGCTGCCCCTCAGCACCACCGTCGCCACCAGGTTGCCTCCCGACTCGTTCTCCACCACCACCACCTGGCGTTGAGAAAGTGAGCGAGAGGGAGGAGGGGGGAGGGAGGGAACAAGTTTCGAACACCAACACTGAGTTGAAAAAGTGGGGGGTGGCGGGTGCAGGGGTTACAGAAGGTGGGGTGTGTGGGGGGGAAGAAATGGTGGGAGTGCAGGGAAGCGGAGGGTTGAGGGAAGAAAACAACTGCGGAACAAAAAAAACAAAAAACGATACACCAGCAGCAGCAGAAGCCACCCATCACTATCACCTCTTCAACCAACCCCCTTTCCCCCCCTCTCCCCTCTACCCCCCTTCTCCCCCCCCCTCGTCAGTGCATGCGTTAGTCTTCAGAAAGCCAGATACAAACGAGCAGCAGCGGCAGCAGAAGCAGAGCAACACTCACCGTGCTGCCGCCTATCTCCTGCACAGAAACAGAGTCCGCAAAGCCCAGCTCGTCTGCTGTTGGCTTCTGTAGCTTCACCTGCGAGAGCGAGAGGGGCATGGGTGGGAAGGAAGGAATGTGGAGAGATGAAATGAAAGGAAGAGTCACACCACATGAGACGAAAAAAGAGAAAGAACAACCAGCATCTTGACGGCTGCTTGTCAATTCGCCAGGACGACATGGTTACCGGGTTACTCACCAGTGAGACCGCACCAGTGGTGCGGCAGAACCGCCGGAGCTCAAACTTGGAGGAGATCTTGAGCACCATGAGCCTGGATGGTGGGTGCATGGATACACAGGGATGCACAGAACATGTTTGCAGCACCTTCGACTTCCCTCACCTATTTCCTCAATTAATCACTGCCTCCCTCATTCCTCTTCATCGCTCTCTTCCTCACTCCCCCACTCACTCCCTCATCTCCTCCCACACTCACTTATATCGCTCGCAGAAGTGCAGAGCCATCTCGCCCACCATCTGCCCGCTCACCACCACCCTGACTCTGCCACCTCCGTAATCGCCTGCTCCACTCACTCCCTCTCTCCCTCACTCACTCTTTCACTCTCTCACTCCCTCCCGCACTCACTTGTATCGCTCGCAGAAGTGCAGAGCCATCTCGCCCACCGTCTGTCCGCTCACCACCACCGTCGCCCCTGACTCCGCCACCTCCCTTATCGCCTGCTCCACCCGTGCTTCCTCCGACTTGGCGTAGTTCTCCAACTGATGGAAAGAGGAAGGGAGAGGAGTGGTGGGAGGGTGGGAATGAGAGGCATGGAGCCGCCTCCGCCACCCCCCTGATCGCATGCTCCACCCTCACCTCCTCCGACTTGTCATGATTCTCCAGCTGATGGGTGAAGGGGAGCGAAGGGCACTGAGTGCACAGAGAGACTCAGTGGGCGAGGGAAAAGAGGGAAGCCTGCGATGCTCAGGTGACTCCGCTCCGCCGTGTGCACGCCCCAGCCAGCAGGGGTTAGAAACCCTCTATGGTTAAATGCCTCTGCCTCCCATATAGAAGGGAGCATGGCATGGGCAGTGGCACATTGCTGTCGGCCCGACGAGAAAGGCGGGGTGAAACAGGGCGATGTGCCTTCAGCCCGCCGTCCAATCAGGCCCTTCCAAGTTCCTCCCCTTTCCCTTCACCCTCCCACTCCCTCTTCCAATCACGCGCTGTACCCCTTCTTGACACACACTAAATCCCCTGGTCCCCCTACTACGTTTGTCTCTCTCCCTACTCCTCTTCCCTACTCCCTCCCACCGCACCTGCTCTGCGTTTTCAATGAGCACGGTGCCCTTGGTCTCTGTGGATTGTGCAAGTTCCTGTCCCAAACCGAACACCACACTTTCAGCCCTCACTTCCCCGCCCCCATTCACTCACTCCCCTTTCCCCCCTCTCTTGCCCCCACCGCACCTGCTCTGCGTTTTCAATGAGCACCGTGCCCTTGGTCTCCGTGGCTTGCGTGTCGATGCCCGTCCCAAACACCGCAATCTGCACTCCACACGTGCAACAACGCATGCAGAGACACACATGCACACGCGCACGCACAACACGCGCACACACACGCATGTGCACATACGCAAGCGCACGCAGACACGCGCACGAAGAAACACACAGAGTGCACATAGCCTTGAGGAGGCACAAACGCGGTATTATGCCCACAACCCCCACACATGGGTACATGCGTGTGACTGTACATGCAGACACCTTCGAATCACGCAGCCCCCCCTTGCACTATGCATTGGCACATCTCAATACCGCACAGCACCGCACAAAACAGCACACTACCCACCTTGGCCTTGGTGGTGTGCTTGATGGTGCCCGTGGCGTCCGTTTTGAGCACCATGCCTCGCACCACCTTGGAATCGTGCAGCCCGCCTCCCAGTATCTTGGCCACTCGCACATTGTCCACGTTGAAGTTGTTGGGGTTGCTGGGACACACCTGCATGCACGCCTGTGGTCCGGAGGGAGGGGTAGAGAGGGATATGAAAAGATGGAGAGGGACAGAGAGGGATAGAGAGGGATAGGAAGGCATAGGAAGGGATTAGGAAGTGGCTAGGCTGAGGTGTGTTGTGTAGCCCCTTGTCGAGTGGGTGGGGCCACACACATGTTGCCAACGTTCAGTGGGTGGAGCTGCATACGTTGGCACACGCACACGCTTGCTGGTCCACAGCTGCATACGCCTGTACGTGACGATGGTGACAGTGGGAGAGAAATGCAATGGGCAGAGAAAAGGAGGGATAGGGGATAAGGGAGAATAGTAACCGGTGCAACCACCAGAGGTTTACGAGGATGTTTAACCGGAAGTTTTAACAAGAGCTTTAAGAAAATGCTTGAACAGTTTGAGCAGATGTTTACGCACAGGTGCAAGCAGACGTGCAACGGCAACTCACATCAGCAATGAGAGGGCACAGCACGGGATCGCTGTTAAACTGCTTGCTGGCCACAGTCGCCAGAAGCCGCTTCTCCACCTCCACCTCATTCTCAAGTGGTCTCAGAGGCACAACCGGAGGCGCAATGAAAGGCGCGAGCAGAAACCTCTCTGCCTGGCGGCAACTCACGTCAGCAATGAGAGGGCACAGCACGGGCTCGCTGCCGAACTGCTTGCTGGCCACGGCCGCCACGAGGCGCTTCTCCACCTCCGCCTTGCTGCGCACGTCCACCTTGTCACTGCCCTCCGCCACCAGCGTCTCTAGCTCCTCCAACACCTGTGATGCACAGTAGGAAGAGAACGCATGGGGGCGAGAGAGGGAGGTTGAGGGCAGGGGATGGTGAGGGTGGAAGGCACCTCTGCCTTGCTGCGCACGTCCACCTTGTCACTGCCCTCCGCCATCAGCGTCTTTAGCTCCTCCAGCACCTGTCAGGCAGTGGAGGGAAAGGCATGGAGAGGGAACTCATGGGGTGAGAGGGAAGGAGGGTAAGGAACGATAGGGCGTAAGTATGGATTTAACACCTCTGCCATGCTCCACACGTCCACCTTGTCACTCCCCTCCGCCGCCAGCGTTTCTAGCTCCTCCAACACCTGTTTACAGCGGAAAGAGAGCATCTGGGGAGAGTGAGAAGGGTTGGGGGGTCCAGATCCAAGCATGGGGTCCAGATCCAAGCATGGAGGTTTATGTCAACGTGAAGGTCGCCCTTTTGATGCAAAGGAGGGGATTGCTCTCTAAAACCCCTCGTTTTCAAACCCTTCAAGCACAAACCCTTCACTCTCAAACCCCTAAACCCATTACCCCTCACTCTTAAAACCCTCAAACCGAAACCATTCTCTTAACTCACTCTCAATTGAACCATCACTAGTAACTCCCCCGCCAGCGACACCACCGTGTTGGCGCCGTTCCCCGCCTCCCCCTCCTGCTGCTGCCCCTGCTAGGCTTCCCTTGCTAGAAGCAGGAGCTTTCGCTCTCACCCTGCCTGTCGCCTTTCCCGCATCCCCTGCTGCGCTCTTGAGTGCCAAACCCTCTACCCCGCCCTCCCCTTTCCCCTCACCTTCTCCGTCGCCTTGGCGTATCCAGCAATGATCTCACTCGGGTGCAGCCCGGACCGGATCAGCTCCTCCGCGCCCGCCAGCAGCTCCCCCGCCAGCGACACCACCGTGTTGGCGCCATGAAAGCACATGTGGCCCCACACCCACCCATGCACTTTCCCGCATGATGCGAAGCTCTCACACCCTCCCACCCCCCCCCACCCCCTTCCCCACACCCCCTTCTCACCTTGTCCGTCGCCTTGGCGTATCCAGCGATGATTTCACTCGGGTGCAGCCCAGACCGGATCAGCTCCTCCGCGCCCGCCAGCAGCTCCCCCGCCAGCGACACCACCGTGTTGGCGCCGTCGCCCACCTCCTCCTGCTGCGCCTTGGCCGCCAGCACCACCAGCTTTGCCGCCGGGTGCTGCACCTCCAGCTCCGCAACTATCGTCGCCGCGTCGCTCGTCACGAACAGCTTGTCGAGGTGGTTGATGATCATCTTGTTCATGCCTGGAAGGGGAAGAACGAAAATACACCCATTATTGAGGGTAAAATCGTGGGTTGCTCTTCCTCCAGCTCCGCGACGATCGTCGCTGCGTCGCTCGTCACGAACAGCTTGTCCAGTTGGTTGATGATCATCTTGTACATGCCTGGACGGGGATGATTGGGAAAAAAAGGGTAAGAATCGCGGGTTGCTACACTACGCCGTGCTCGAAAAAACACCACGCTTCGACCGTGCTCTAGGCGAGAACAAACCTAACTGAAAGGAAGCGGGTACCTGGAGGGAGTTTGCATGGCGAAGCCGGAAGGAAGGAAGGATCGAATTTACACATGACGACCTTCGCACGCCTAACTTTGTACAGAGCTAGCCGTCTACCTCTGCGCGAGCTCGCCGTTCCTAAGTTTTTTGAGACCAACTCTCGGTCTCCCAAAGTTCTGACAACCGAGAATGCCGGCGAGTAACCTTCAAGCATCCGCTCCTCGAACGTCGGTTGGCGATTCGACTTGACCTGAAACTCTGTTTCCACGAATCGGGTGCTGCGAAAACATGGATTACATCTTTCGAAACTTGACTAGGTTGCAGCAACGGCCACAGCTCGTCGTCGCATGACTTGCTAAAAAATACTACTGCCAAACGCTTGCGATCAGATCCAGCTATCTCCTGCTCTGCGACGTCAGCTTGTCGCCGACTTGCCTTGTTGGGTCGCTGCGACGGCATCGCGATCTGCAACGGCTACCTGGCTGCTTCAGGTAACATCAGCACCAACCACATTCCACAGTATCGGCATAGCCTCAGACGAATAAGCGTGTCGTCCACCACGGATCGCACACAAAGAATCGCACACATCGCACAAAGCGATTGGGAAACTCACCATTGGGGCCCAGCGACGTGCGCGTGATGTGCGACAGCTGCTTGCACGCTTCGATGTTCTTCAGCACCGCCTCCTCTAACCCCGTCAGGTGCTTGTGCCCTTCTTTCAGCAGCGACTGCAACCCGAATCCCGACGTCATCGCCATGCTTCCGACCCGCGAGTCTGAGCTTTTTGTGAATTCGAATTCCGAGATTCGAGAAACGGGATCGAAAAACTTTATCAAGAAACGGGATCGCGGACCGAGATCGGATCTAGAAAATGGAAGGAGCTGGTGAGGCCTGAATTCCTTGATTTCAGAGCTAGAAGCGAAAGCACGACTGGAACAAGTGGAACCAGGCACTAATTGGCCTAGATTTAGACAGAGCTGATGTCGACCCTGCACGGTGATAGTGATCAGTCGAAGGAGAACGGAGATCCCTCACGAATTCCTGTTGCCTTGGTGCTGTCTGTTCGTCCTCAGGTCGGCTTTGTCTGGACTACCGAGAACCAAGAAGAGCAGATCTCAGGGCAGGAAAATCGATATACTCGATAAGAACTTGAGGAAATATACTTGTCTCGACCTTTTTCTTAAACCAAGCACTAAAACATTTTCACATACTTCCCTACAACTATTTGATCATATAAAACTGGTGTGCCATTAACTTCTTAGCTACATATAAATGTGCTAAGCACTATTTCAGCATCAACAAACTATGAAGATAATAAAAGCGATCATATTTAACCTTCCATCAAGGAGTTGGAGTCACTCTTTTTGTCCATGCACTCTTCCTCGCAATCCTTTTCACCTTCTCCTTCATCCTCCTCTTCTTCCTCGCTTTCCTCCTCTATCTCCACCAAAGTTCCCTCCATGTCAAACACCATCCGTCCCGACTTTGTACACTCAACAAACTCCCTCCCAGACGGTATACTCACTATAGAGCGATCCATAGCCCACATCGATGCAGACTCCCCTTCCTCCCGTATCGCCTGCCGCAATTGTGCCTCGAAATCCGCAGCAACGCTATTCAACGCTTTGTCTCCCCACTTCCCTGATAACGCACTCAACCATGACTTGTGCTTCGGCTTGGAAGGCCTGGCCGTTGGATCGGGGAAAGAGGACGAATCTACACTGCTGCTACTACTCGTCCTACTGCTTCCAGATGCCGACGAAGAATCACCCGAGCCTGACTTTGAACCTAACTCCCTTCCTCCACCTCCCGAACCTGTTTTCCCAATCCGAACAATCCTCCACCTCTTCCCTTTCCGCTTCTGCTTCCCCCCCTCCCCTTCCTCCGCCATCTCTCCCCCGCCAGCCTCAGGGTCACAATGCTCTTGACTGGACAGCGATTCAGACGACAAGCTGGAATTTCCATCACTTCCCACCCCACCATCCGCAGCTGCATTCCCACCAGCAGAGGGAGCAGCTGTATCACCACCCCCAGACGAACCCGCACCAGAAGCACCAGCTGATCCGGGCGCAGCATTGGCACTACCCGGACCAGCAGAGGCGTGTGTGTGAGGCGCGGGCCTCCATAGCCAGGCGCGCCTGGGCCCTGGCCTGTCCTGTCTGTCGCCCACGAAGCAGTAGAGCATGAGGAGGAGGGCGGAGAGCAGCAGCGAGGCACCCACTAGGAGACCGATGAAGAGAGGCGTGGAGAAGGCGGCAGAGGGGGTGGCGGAGGTGAGTGGGTCGACAGGGGCAGGGGGAGGAAAGGAGGAGGGTTGTGATGGAGGATATAGAAACGGTGTGCCGCTGTTGCTGCTGCTACTGCTGCTGTTTCTGCTGCTGTTAGAAACGGGCGGTCCTGGTGGCGGATAGAGGGCAGGGGGCGGCTGGGTTTGGGTTGAAGAAGACCCACGAGAGGGCTGCTTGGGAGCGGACGGAGACGGGAGAAGGGGGGAGGAGGGGAAGGGCGGTGATGGTGACAGCGATGGTGATGGTGATGGTGATGGTGGAGGAGGAAGGGGAGCGGAGGGGTCGCTGAGCTGCAGCAGTCCCCCTAGCCCGCCACCTCGCGTGGGAATAGGCGTTGCTAGCTCCGTGGGATCACTGGACAGGCCTGGATCCGACCTGGATGGATCACCGCCAGAGTGGTTTGGATCTGATTTGGAAGGATCAGAGGGTAGAGCAATTGTCGAGTCTGATGCCCCCCCCGGCTGGGTTGCACTGGAGCCGGGCGGAACGGACGGCTTGGTGAGCGCGGGAGGGGGGTCTGGGGAGGGTTGGGTTGCGGAGGAGGCGGGATCCGGAGAGGGTTGTAGAGATGGGAAGAAGGGGGAGAGATCGGACGGTTGGGTGGTTTGGAAGGGCATGGAGGGGGGAGGCGGAAGGCTCACTTGCTTGCCCACTGGCCGGCTCCACCTTCCCCTTCCGCTTCCGCCTTTGTTTCCGCTTCCGCCTTTCCTTTTCTCCTTTCCGCTTCCGCCTTTCCCTTCCCCTTTCCGCTTTAGCCCTTCGTTTTCCCGTTCCGCTTCGGCCTTTCACTTTCCCTCTCCACTTCCGGCTTTCACTTTCCTGCGCGCTTCCGCTTATCGCTTTCTCGTTCCGCTTCCGCCTTTCACTTACTCTGTCCGCTTCCGCCCTTTCCTTTCGCTTTCCGACGTTCACTTCCCTGTCCGCTTCCGCCCTTTCCTTTCGCTTTCCGCCTTTCACTTCCCTGTCCGCTTCCGCCCTTTCCTTTCGCTTTCCGCCTTTCACTTCCCTGTCCGCTTCCGCCCCTCCTTTTCCTTTCCAGCTCGCTCCTTGCTTTTTCTGCGTCTCCCTTTATTCTTTCCACCTCTTTCTTCTCCTTCCTGTTCTCTCCTTTCGTCACTCAGGCCGGGTGGGGTAACACGGTAACAGTGCGACGCGTCAGGGATCAAGCCGCTTTCTTCGCCGCTGATCTGGTATCCTCCAACGTCGGAAAAGAGATGATGCGTTGGTGGTTGCGACGATGGTTGCGACGTGGTCAAAAGCTAGTGCCCGTCAGCAACTGGACCGACGTCGCGCTCCGAGGAAAGTGCGCTGCGTGCTGCGGTTATCTAAGGTATGAGCTGTCGCGCCGTGACTTGCTGATCTTTCGACTGTGTTCGTAAGTCCCACCCTAACCACGCTAAGGGGAAATGTAGCTACGAGAGCTGTTCACATGTAGCAGGCGACACATGCGTTCCACATTGCTCGGAACTACACAACAATCGCATGCAGACTGCTGCGTACTACACATGTGACTTTGAACTCGTCGATCGCAACTAGAGTTATCTTGAGAGTATAACGGAGACTCCTAGTAGGAACACTTAATTTGTAAAATGCCTGAAAATATGTGCCTGCCGCCAGTTCTAAGATGCACCCTGACCGCGACACCCGCGAATTGCAAAGCGGGAAGCAAACTTGGCCCTTCTGTCAACTCCTGATGGGTGTCAAGAATGATTGGATTTCGGTCTCTTGTCGAACCTCTCCGCTTGGCTTATGTTCGAGCCTGATTTGGCGCGTTGACCTTGTTGTGGAAATCAGGTCTTGCCCACCTATACTAAACAATACCTAAGGAGCTCAAACCGAGCAGAACCTATTTGAAGCAAACCTACCCAATCTCGCAAATACGGTTCGGCGAAATAGAAGAGGACGGAGTTTGAGAAGAAACAGGTGCGTCTTGTTCTGCGCTGCTCCCTGCGCTCCTGATGATTCTTCCGCACAGGAAGAAGGCGTGGCGAAGGGAGGAGGGGGAAAGGGGTGGGGAGGTTGAACGAGCTCGGGTAGTTTGAAATGTCGGGCAAAATTGGAGAATCACCAAGAATAGCAAGAAGTTGTGCAATCCATTTTTAGAGCAAGAAGGGTAGGTGCGGAACCTGAACGGAGTATGATTCATAGTTTTTTCGTGGTGTTGGTGGAACCAACCCATGCCTGACCCAACAAGAAAAGGGTGTGTCTCGACACAGTGTTTTCTTGGTGCAAGCCAAGGCGGAGCGGGTATTCTGGTGAAAATTCGCGCAGGTGACTCCGCTGGACGGCTCTGAAGTACCTGCGACATGAGAGGGTTTAAAATACGCAGTATTGATACTTCGATTCAATGTCCAACCAGCAACATGACAAGCCTAAACATGCAAACACTAGTTCAGGGACTCGAGGTTGCTCAGGATCTTAGTCAGAATCGCGAGCTTGGCTAGTGGTTTTACCGGTAGCTGGATCAAGGGCCTTCCGTGCCTCCAGGAAATGAATGGCCATTACCAAGAATCAAGTTGCTTGGGAGATGGTGCGGTCTAGAAGAATTGAGATACTCAGCTGATAGATAGCAAAATATGAGATTCTGCGCAATATTGGAGGATACATCCATGGAGATCTTGAGATCTTACTTTCAGCGCAACATGCACTGTAACGACGCTTTATTCTTTAGCAGTTATTGGATTCTATTTTAGGCTCCAGGGAGAAGCTGGAATGGTCTTCGAGCGTCACACATCCTCCCTCTACTGGTACCTCCTCTGCGTAACGCACCTGTTCTTCAGCTTGTCCCAATTCTGCTGCACCAGAAACTTCATGTTGTTCATTCCGACGAGATTGTACTCGTATTTCCTGCCGCGGTTGTCCTGACTCATGGCCGTCGTACCAACGTCGTACGAGCACTTGTCCGCATTCTCTTCACCATCGGCGTCCATCCACCCGTTTGCAGCATCCGGGTCGGTTGCTGCTTCCGCAATTTCGTGAGCAATTGTGGAAACCGTCGCATCGATTGCAGGGTTCCCGTTGGGCGACGTGGTCTGCCCCCCGCAACCGTCGGCGCACTGCCCGTGATGCCCCACGAACGAGTATATAACCGGGTTTGCCCCCATGTAGTCCATGGTGTGCCATCCGCAATACTCGCTGCAGTATCCAGGGACGGTGACATCCTTGCTGGTAAGAAGCAGGTAGATACCATGCGGATCGTACGCAAACGCCTTCCCGGCGCCAATCTTGATCGAAACAACTGCGACGACAGAAGGGATTTCAATGGTTTTCTTAGTATTACTTCAAGAACCGTACCCTGAGACACTTACGGATGGTGCAAAGATGATTCAAAGCAGCGTAGGAGATCATGGAATGCTGTAATGGGGAATAAAAAGGTAATAGCTTTCAAGGAGACTCGAAGCATCGGTCTCATGCGGCCGAATAGTACCTTGCCAAACTGTGTTCTCGCCAAACCGCTTTCCCGCCGAGTATTTATCGTAGACCGTCTTGACGAGGCGCACCTGAAATAAAACCGCGCGAATTTGCATTGAGTCATCAAACTGAGAAAACGAGGCAGTTAAAGGGAGGGCGCGGCTACGTTTAGCTGGATTGCCGTAGTTCACTCTCGCGTTTGGAACTCTCGGCATTTTATCCTCGGTTACAAGTCCTGACTATCCACGTGGCACGATACAAACCTTCGAGCTGACGTTCTTCAACATGGCATCCTTCCCCTGCTGCGTGTACGCCGCGCTGATCGCCCACCAGCGCTTCACCTTGGGATCCACGGGATTCCCCTGCCGGCTTGAGTCCGCGCTCAACGACCGGATGAAATTCTCGATCACATTCTGCCCCGATCCTGCCGGCCAGCTGCCGTAGTAAATAATGTACACGTTGACGGACGGGTTTCCGGTCATCACGGGACCGCCTAGGTATTGGATCGGAGCGCTTGCAGCGCCTCCGCGCGCTGCACCCTTTTCGCGCTCTTCTTTCTCGTGATGCGCCTTCGTTTCGAACATGTGGAGAGGCGGGCGGCCAGGGCGGACCTCGATGTCGTTCAGCTGGCGCTGACGGCGGTACTCCTCGTGCGCCTGGCGCGTGCGCGCGACGTGCTTAGACGCACCGGCGGATGCGAAGGGAAAAAGCGAGAGGCAGACGAGGGAGAGGAGAAAGAGCAGGGAGATGGTGGTACTAGAGAGCGTCGCCATTGCGACTTGCTGGTGGAAGAGGTTCTTCAGGTGACAGTAAACAGCGGGGCCGGGGAAATGCTAGCGGTGATAACCTCTGAAATTCGCGAGGCTAGATTTTCTACTGCGTGGACTGGTTAGCCTTCAGATAAGGCTGATATCAAACTGCTAATATCTCAATCGAGCTGCGCTTTTGCGATGTATATCAGTAGTGTACGTGAGCACAAGTTGCGGAGGCCTAAGTTCGAGCGAGGAAGGGATGCTGGTAAGAACCGCCGATGTAAGGCATTTATATGTTTGAGCAGTAGCGACGTCGACATTCGTCCGAGGTGCTGATAAGAGGTGCTGCGATTGCTAGTAGCGACGTCGACATTCCAAGGTGCTGTCTAGTTTCTGTGATACGTCGGTGCTTCTCGATTTCTGAAACGGAAGCACGATCCCCTGCTGCTGCGGAGCTCCAGTGCAATCACCAATAATTTCGCGGCTCGATTTTCTTGGGTGTGTTGAGGGACGCTGGTGCGGCTAACGTCGGTCCAGCCCACGGCTTCACGGCTCGGTTTCTTCCATGTGTTCGCAAGAGAAGCTTGTTCACTACAGAGCGATTCCAAGTAAGCACAGAATACAAATACAAAAAGCTATGGTAATGAGTGCAATTCAACAAGGAAGCAAGGTAATACAAGCGTAAGCGAAGGACTCAGCGAACACCGGATAACAAAAAGTTGCAAGCGGTAACTGGATGATTTGAGCAAGCATATGCAGATCTGGCAGCGAGGTTCGGGCTGTTCCCGGGGCATAGACCTGTTAGGAAATATAAAATGAATTATACAATTCAGAAGTTCAATAGTATGAAACAATAGTAGTATCGTACTATTTCCATATATACATGTTACTGTAGCATGTGTCCCTTCCCGTGAGTTACAGGTAGTAGTGAGAACAGTCTCGCGACTGTTTGCATGACACATGATTATACCCCTTCGTAGAGTCGATTCGATATCAAGCCCATTTCATGAACAGGTACATCTCTGAGTAGGTACTCTATTATATGTTTTCTTTATTATCGATTCTTGTTCTCACAATATACCAGCACATGAAGTCAAGTCTTCCGCTCTCAAGAAGTACGGAGAACGGAATGATGAAACCAGAATGTGAAAATGTACAAATATGCAATCCTACCAACTATACCCCCTAGTAGGTATATCACTACAGCATATTATGTTATTACAAATTGACACACCCCCGTAGGCTAAGTGAGGGACATCAAAGAGACAAACAAGCGACAGCAAATGGTCATAAGACGAGTCAAGTGCAAGCAACAAAGCAAAGCTCAGGGTGGCGCTCAGAGTCACCACACACCCCGAGCACAAGCAAGTGGCCACAAGGCCACTTCAAGAGTTTACTGTCAGAAGTAGGCACAAATTTAGTACATAAAAGAGGGGTTGCACTAGCAGCAGTTA